TCGTTCTAAACTTCCGCCATCCACACGTACCACTCGTAACATCATCGCAGGTCTATACCATTCCTGGTCTAGAGGAGCATACCAAGCATTTCAGCTAAGGGAAATCCTGTTTCAAAATGGGAGGCTTGCGAGATTCACAAGATGGAGGGAAGTACGTCATCGTCCTGACTAAATTCGTCGTCCAGTTCGTTGAAATGGCGACGTCAAAGTCGTTCGGAGTCTTGATTCCTACCATGATATATGTGTTCTCGACTGAAGCTTCATATTTAGGCCTTGCGTGCAGCATGCCTGCGTCCATGATGTTTTTAGGATGTGAGTATACATCTTTTATGATTTGCATTTCACAAATATCTTACTACATTGTTTATTACCCAAATACCCACTTTGGAGCTCAACTTGGACTTCCATGCGATACTTCTTTTGCACAGTTGGCAAAATACAAAGAAAATGCAATAAATTATCAATAATTCATTGCATTTTCCCCCAGTCTCCAACAGGAAAAATTCCTCTGTAGGGCCATGCATTATGGTTCAAGACTTCAAGGCATGGCCACATAGAGGATTTTTTTGTTCTGTTGGAGATCGGGGCATAATGCAATGAATTATTGATAACTTATTGCTTTTTTGTGTATTTGTGGGGGCGGCCCCGTACACTAGGCCCTAGCCCCCACAGCGTACAGTCATGATTCAGTTGCTAAGCAATGGCGTCGTTACTGTGAGGCCCCAGGATCAAAACCGTGTCAATGTGCTATAAATTGTGCCCTTTTATGAGGCATGAATCCTCATTACTGTCATTTATGACTTAAGGACGTAGGTCCCCTAGTTGATTAGCATAGTAGCACACACATGCTACACAAATTATCATTCAATACAATCTCAGAATGTATACTATTATCTAAATCTATTAGCAATAAATCATTGTCAAAATCATTCCATAAATTGGGGTAACAATCATTATTCCACCATTATGACCAACAGTGTATATCTCTTGTCTATCTCGTACATCAAAAGGCAGGAATACATCTTACATGTCAGCATGCCTAAACTTATCGTTCTGGTGAGTTTTCCCTAAATATCTAGCAAATACTATTATGTACTGTACAGTCTGAGACATATTGGTCAAATCCAAAATGGCCGCCATCTGATAGTTACAGGTCAAGTGTAGTTACGAAAGGAAATGGGCTAGTATGATAAAAAGTTTATATAGTAAGGGGGTTTTCGGGGTCATAGAATCTGATTATGATGTGCTTGTATCAATTACAAGTTTCCTTGGGACTGTTATGCATGCTGGCCATATTGGCCAATAAAAAATGGCCGCCATCCGAGGTAAAGGTCAAGCGTAGTTCCAATAGAAAAAAGACCAGCATGATAAAAGTTGATAAATTCACGGGGTTTCCGGAGTCGGATAATCTGATTGTGATGTTCTTTTATCATTCAATTCAATTCAATTCAAAAATGGTTTTTATCATAGCAGAAACATGGTTCATACAAATACAATTTTACATAAAGGACAGCCTTGGCTGGAATATTCATGTTTACATGTTCGGCACAATAGATAACACTTTTAAATACATGTATATACATGTAAAAAACTAGCAATATCAAAAATAAGACTTAGATTATGTAACTAAAATCCATAAACACATTGCACGAGTTTCCAGAAATACAGCTGTAATTGTTTACAAATGTCCTATAAAAGTCAATACAAGCATGGTAAAAAGATTAAAATAGGTACATTAAAACAGCCTGCTGAGGGGAGGCGACAAGCACTTAGTATACCTGAAATGACAGTGGGCTATTTTTAAATCTTTTTGTTTTGAATTGAAATTGTTGCTAAATGGGAATACGGCGAAGAGTGATATTGGTGTTTTTTTCTTAGGTAACCAGGTCTGACAAATAAAGTTATTTGAAAGGGATTTTGCGAATTTTCTACAAAGTGCTAGTCTCCTCTCCGCAAGAGTTGGTAAATTGCATACTTGACATGCATTAGAATAGGTAATGTAACTAGGCCCTAAAATAATCTTACATACTCTACGTTGTATTTTTTCAAGATTATTATTTTGTTCTATTGTAAGACTGCTATGGAACGCTGGAGCACAATATTCTAAAATTGGTTGTATATAACCTACGTATATTGTCACTAAATCCTTAAAAGGTAAATTGAATTTCTTAAGTTTCCTCAACATGTACAGCTTTCTATTGCACCTTTTGACTAAATCATTAACATGTAAATTCCATTTTAAATCAGATTGTATAATAACCCCAACAATTTTGAGAGTTTGTACATTGCATAGAGTAGAGTCATTAATGGAAAGAACTTCAGGAGGAGCAGGATTTTTCATAAAAGTAACTTGCAGGGTAAAACACTTCAATCTCCCTGCTTTGCCGCTGCCTGTTATTAAACCTTGGGATGTCTACTGGGAATTGCAACATCTTAACAGACGGAAAGCTCCCGGTCCAGATAGCATCCCAGCTCGGATCATTTCCGAATTTGCGTTAGAACTGAGTAGCCCTCTTACGGCCATTTTCAATGGATCTATCAGAGAATCGGTGGTGCCACACCGCTGGAAACGTGCAATTGTGGTACCTATCCCCAAGACCTCCAAACCCACCATAGGAGACTTGAGACCGATATCGCTCACAGATCATTTCGCAAAGATCCTGGAGAAATTCATCTCAAAGTGGCTGGTGGGTGACATTGGATCTGCGATTGACAAGTCACAGTATAGGAAGGGCTACTCGACTGCACATTATCTGATAGATATACTAAATACCATCCATCGGAATGCCGAAAATCCGAAAACGGTCACAACACTGGTGGCAGACAGTAGAAGCAGTGCAATTTAAATATCAAAGGATGGTTGGTAGGGGCTCTTCCAGGCCCCTCAAGCTGTGCCATATTGTACGGATCTATTGGAAAGCTAAATAAGCCCAATAAATAATTCGTATATACATACTTATATATATATATATATATATATATATATATAGTTCTCCTATGCAGACTTTCCTCTCTGAAATGCATATAATAAATTCGTTTTCGAGGGTTGGCAAGGAAAACAGACCATGAATAAAGAAATAAACAGCTTGGTCGATTTGTTTTGAAGCATTATCTTCAAAAACCCAGACAGCTTAAACTGTATTATCCTTAAAAACAATCTCTCTTACATTGTTATGTCACTAGTCAAGTTTAGCCCAATTTAAAACTCAATGATCTATTAAATTAAATTAATCATTAAGAACTATTAAAAATAATCATTGAATAACAAAGAAGTATTTTGATATTTCCACTAACCTAGACAATTTTGATTGAATTTTGAAACGCTACTATTACGACTACTCATAATATTATTATCGCTCATTTAGGAGCGCTAAAAACAAAAGTACCATAGTTCTTACAAAATCGCAGAATGCGAAGAGAAACTTAAAATGTCTACGTTATCAATTAATATACCATTACAATAAATTTCGGCGATTGCACTCTCTTTTTAAGATATTGGCACATAAAATGCTGGACTTAGCCCATGCTGCAATCATAATTATAAACCTTTAGTTCAGTCAGGAATAACATGACGTGTATAAGAGTGTTCGACGCCCCCCCCCCCCCCACTGACAATAATAATAATAATGATAATAATGATAATAATAATAATAATAAATAAATACATTTTTAAAAAAATTGCTTATTCACCGGCTGGCTGGGTCGCCGCTAAAGATTTTCTCACGAATGAGGCCCCCCTTGATAATCGTTAAAGGCAATGTGAAATTAATAAATATAATATTCATTTATTCAGCCTAATCAAAGCTTGACTAAATAAATTTAAATTATAGTTTGCTTTAATTTAAATAGTGAATGACTTTAATAGACCTACTAGATAAATTGGCTTGACTAAATAAAGTAATAATCCATTAAACACGCGCTTTGGTGGATAAAATTTTGGAAATGCTTTTTCAGAGTAAAAAGTGTCCGTGGATCCTAGCCCCTGGGGACTTGGATCACGATAATACCGATAATACTTAACCGATGACCAGATTCCAAGTAAAGTTTACTATAAAGAACCAATTCCAACATTCAGAAATGATTTTCGGTGACTGATGTGTCAGATGTGAACATTCACAAAGGAAAGGCCAGCACACAAACAAATTACAGTCCCTTTCTAAGTTCTCTTTATGTTCATGTGACCTTTGGAAAAGTTCGTTCCCGATTTTGGCGCATGCGCAGTGTGCAATTACGAACTCGCTTCATAATCATCATAATCAGATTATCCGACCCCGGAAACCCCATGAATTCATCAACTTTTATCATACTGGTCCTTTTCCTTTTGAAACTACGCTTGACCTTTTACTCAGAGGTGGCAACCATTTTCGATTTGACCAATATGACCAGCATGACAGCCCCAAGTAGACCTCAAATTGGTAAAAGAACATGATAATCAGATTTTGTGACCCCGAAAACCCCATAAATATATAAACTGTTATCATACTAGCCCATTTTCTTTCATAACTACACTTGACCTGTAACTCAGATGGCGGCCATTTTAGATTTGACCAATATGACCAGTATGGCAGCCCCAAGGAGACCTCAAATCAATGAAAGGCCAATAGTATGGTATAATCTACCTCTGGGCCAAATTTGGTGCTTTTAGAAGAATCTGCACCAAAATATCCCTAACAGCCCCTACTAATTCCGATGGTTCGTATTTCCGATAATGAAATAGGGTCCATTATTCCGAAGGTTCGTAATTCCGAAAAAGAAATAGGGTTTGTAATTCTTAAAATAAAATTCGAAAATGAAATTTTCATTTTCGGAATTATGAACCCTATTTCATTTTCGGAATTATGAAATTTTTTCATTTTCGGAATTATGAACCCTTTTTAAAAAATTTTTTAAAGGAAATTCGAACCTTCTGAATTATGAACCCTTATTCATTTTCGGAATTATGAATCTTTGGAAACATGGACCCTAATTCATTTTCGGAATCAAAAACCTACGGATAAACGAACCTTCGGAATAATGCAACAAATGTTCGGAATTATGAATCATGGGAAATTTGTGTTTCGGAATTATGAACCTTCAGAAATACGAACCTTCGGAAAAACGAACCTTCGGAAAAACAAGTGCCCCCAAATGCGGTAAACATAATTATGCTGCTTCTGGCTGTCTGTTTCGTGAAGTAGCAGGGGTTTTCGGTCTACTGGGATCACCCCATTGTAACTTAACCGTTTCCATTTCGCATTCTGCAGCTTTACCCGTTGCGTATATTCTGAAGAGCGGCTACATAACACCTCGAGTGATGGCGGTCACTGGAGCTATCATATCATCGTTAGGGATCATCATTTCCGGTTATCTCACATCTGTAATCCCTCTCGGATTCTGCCTCGCCCTAACAGGTAAATACATAGATAGCGAGAATTTTGTTTAAATCAATCAATAGGCCTAATCTACTAATTCAACACTACGCTGTAATTGACTGAATTGTGCATGTTTTATATTAGTAATGAAATACATGTATCACACTCCATCATATAGGATCGTTGATATCCATGTGTACATAATTCGTATAAAATCAGCACATCATACAAATACATACGCATAAAATAAATAAACGGCGGATAACATATTTTGAAGCGTATTATCAAAATACGCCTGTTCTTTCATGGGGTCCGGATATTCAAATATCTTATCCAATCATGGGGAAATATGAATTACAAGTAAATTCAATATAAACATTTCAATAAACATAACATAAACGATATAACTGAACAAAAATATATAATATATTTTGGAGTCTAATAAATTCAATTTACATGTATAATTCATATTCAATGTATTGTATAAGGCACACAGAACCGCACGAACCCTGAACAAATAAAGTAAAGGGAAAGAGAGGTAAACAGATTCTTGAGCACATTTGTAAGATACTTGAAATAATTTTTCAGATTAGATTTGAAATTTTGAATCGTGTAAGCACTCCGGGTATTAGCTGGTAATTTGTGGTACAATTAATGAAGCTCCTCTGTAATTAAATATTCTTTTTACAATTATTGGTTCTCGGCCTAGGGAGATTCGGGGCGTGTTCACACCGCAAGGGGGGGGGGCCGTGGGCGGACCGTGGATCGCGCTATCGTAGCGTGACCCACGGTCCGCCCATTAGCATTCGCCGGATCCACACCGCAGTGAGATAGCGCGGTCTATCGTAGCACCCCCTTTTTTGAGAGGTCCTGTTGCCATGACGCGTGACGTCATGAGGTCAGAGCGGTCAAAGATTTCGCGCGCTATTACGAACCCGGAGTGTTGAGTTGTACTGATTCAGATTCAGATCGCACCAAAATAGAATGAGTATAAAATTCCCCGCGTGTTGAACGATGACTTCGGACGGCCTGCTATCGTAGCTCGGGTTCACACTGGCAGAGATAGCGGGGTCTAGCGCGCGCTTGACCACGCTCTCTCTCGTGGACCACCCCCAAGAGGTGCTCCAGTGTTGGCTCGCCGTGGCTCGCTGTTGAAATGAAATTGCTCCTGTACTTCAACATCTATTTCAGCAATCACTCGACCTGGGTGACCTCCCGCAGGACTGGAGAAGAGCAAACATCACACCTATCTACAAGAAAGGGCCCACAACAAATCCAGCGAATTACCGTCCGGTCTCTCCGACGTGCGTTTGCTGTATAAGCTCCTGGAACGCAATCATTGATTCAAATCTTATGAACCATTTATCAAAATGGGACATAGGCCTACCCTCTGACAACCAGCATGCTTTCAGAAAGGCAAGATCTTGTGAAACTCAGCTTATCTTGACAACCTAGATCTTACAAACAGTGTTAATGCTGGACTGTCAACTGATATGGCTATACTTGATTTTTCAAAGGCCTTCGATGTGATGCCTCAGCATAGCCTTCTCACTAAATTGGACTTCTGTGGAATTAGATCCTTAACCAAAAAGTGGATAATATCATCCTTCCTTACTAAGAAATCCCAGAGGATCATGATTAACGGCGAGTATTCTGACTGGGTTCCCGTCCTCAGTGGGACTCCACAGGGTACAGTCCTCGGGCCACATCTGTTCCTCCTTCATGTCAATGACATTGATAACGGTGTGAAGAGTACTACCATACTCTTTGCGGATGATTGCTTAATCTACAACACCATAATATCACCCAAAGATGAGGAAGTACTGCAAAAAGACCTTAACACCTTGGTCAACTGGGTTCTGGGGAATGATTTTCGACCCGCGGAAATGCACAACACTTACTAGGCGAGTCACGAGGGGCAGGAAACCAAACAGAACATCCAACCAGATAATGGGAGTCAATCTCGAAGAAACCACACTCACCAGATATTTGGGTATACTCCTACAAAATGATATGAGATGGAACAAGCAGGTTAAAAATTGAAGACGTAAGGCCATGAAAGTAGTCACATTCTTGAAAGAAACTTCTATCAATCTTCAACAAAACAAAAACAAAGGAGAAGCTGTATTCTATGCTGGTTAAACCTCATCTTAATTACGCTTCTTCAGCCTGGGATCGGGCCTGGGATCCATATACGATCACCAACATCAGCAACATTGAGAGAGTCCAGAATACAGCAACTAGATTCGTCAAAATCACTTATACAAGCTATTCAAGACTGTCACTGATTTGCAAGCACATCGCCTGTCTAATTATTAAGATATTTATGAATGGAAATCGAAACCAAATTTTGCGTTTTCCTAACGGTTTTCATAACACTACAGTCTATTGGGAAAAACGAGTACGATAAAACCGGTCACTCAAAGATTTTTACTTTTTGGGGGCACTTCTTGATCATTTTTAAGCACAATTTTTTTCAGGGCTTCAAAAAACCATATCACAGACACTGATAACACGTAGGACCGTGCATCTCAGATTTAACATTGTTAAACGATGCCTTTAAAAGCTTCAACATCTACAATAGTACACTTTCTAAAAGTAACGTATTTTAAATTCATATTATTATCATCACAATTAGATTTCCATACATTGAAACTCATTGAATGGTCACTTAATAAGCCGCTGTGAATCACGATTCAAGGACACCTACCCCCGGATAACCACCCCCAGGCACCTACCCCTCGGACAACTATCCTAGGATTGAACGTTCCTTTTTAGACCTACATGCTTTCTCTCGTCATATCAATAAATAGATTATGTGATTTTGTTGTGGCACAAAGTGGCACCTTACATTATGAATATTTGTAAAGGTAAGGTCCAATGATGAGGTTTTGCACCCCTGTCTTCTCGGAAAAGGATGTTCGTCTCTATTTCATGCAACTGCTTATTTAAATGCACATCATAACACAAGAAATCTTGCATACAATCATCTCGTAAAGCTCAAATTATTTTGCCGAACGTAATGTTAGCATGTGTTTCTAACGCTTACACTGTGTTACCACAATCTGTCACAAAACATTTTGACATGCCATTTTTTAAAATAATGTTGCTTGATGAAGCCTGTATGAATTATTGCAACCCCTCCCCTCGCCTCCTCCCCCACCCCGGAAATGTTCCGCCACAGCAGTAAATGGAAGTGTATCCAAGTTTGGAAAACTTAGACTCTACTAAGATTAATAATATTTTCATAATTTACTTTCTTTCCACATACTTGTCTCAAGGATTTGGACTGTCGATGGGGTACCTACCAGTCAAAGTCTTACTCAACGACTACTTCCAGGATACATTCATACTTATGAACGCTTTAGGCAATCTAGGAAAACCTGCAGGTGCATTAGTTGTTCCAGTCATCATCGAAGGGGCGCTAGATGCGTATGGGTTCAGTGGTGCCATGCTCATCCTTGGAGGGATCAGCTTGCATGCAATTCCTGCCAGTTTAGCTCTTAGGACAGTAAAGGGTTCTCCCAAAGCCACAAGTATTCAGAAAAGAGAAGGTTGTCAAGAACCTTTAATCGATCCTAATGGTGATAATAAGAGTGTTCTTATGGCTGTAGATGATGGTGAAATAGTTAGCTCGGACGACCTGGCTTCATCGTCAAAAGAAATTAGCCAATATCGAGAAGATCACATTGAGAGAAAATCTGCAGACGTTTTACCTTGGAGGCTACGATTGTGGCGGTGGTTTCGGCACTGCATTATTGTGGAAGAACCTCTCCTGTTACTTTCACTTCCTATTCTTTTCCTCACGTCCTTCGTTGCGCAATCATGGATTTTATTTCTTGTTCCAAGAGCAATATGGCACGGAATTCCAACTTCTAAAGCCGTTTTGTTGTCATCAATTGGAGGTGGAGGTGGCGTCCTAGGGAGAATTCTATGCATTGCGATTCTCTTCTTCTTAAGAGTTGACTTTATTGTCGTTTCCCTGATCCTGAGTGTGATATCATCAACTACCTTCTTAATTGACAATTAACATCGTTCCCAGTCATGTGCGTCACGGCGTTTGTCCAAGGGTTGTGCGTCTTCAGCTCAGGAATATCTTCTGCTGCCTTCCTCAAGGGCTCTGTGTCTAATAAAAACTTCACTATTGCCGCAGGGATCTTTGGTTTGGTGACCGGCATCGGAGGGAATGTCGGAAGTTTGTTGTCAGGTAAGCTACAAGTAAAAATAGATTTTGATAAGTTAACTTAGATAGGAAATACAATAAAGGTTTGGTGTTTTTGTTGAAATTGTATAGACTGGAAAGTTGATATTTCCAAGCATAAGAATCTGGCCCTAGAATATTCTACTCGTGCCGTGATGGTTATAGAGTACCGAGGTGTTAAATCTTACTGGCCAAGTTGTCAAAGTTGCTGGTTCCAAACAATTTTGTGCTAAACAATGGAGTGGTCATCACACAAGCCCCAAACACTGAATTTACCATGCTCTGGCCCGTTTTTTGAATGATTTCGCGGTTAACCTCATGCGCAGGGTCTGTTGTTTAAAGCCAATAACCTGGACGTCGAGCGAACATGTCGTTAGCACTTCGGTACTTTAAGCCACTGCTTATTGTAATTGGATGGAAGATCTCAAGTGTAAAGATGTTATGGTATGTTGTTTCTACAGTTAATGAAAACAAACACCATATTAACCTTGCAGTCATATTACTTTTTGTCTATTAAAAAGTCACGGAGCATAAAAATGTGTAACCGTTGTTTTTATAGTCCCTTCTTTCTTTTACTTTTCGTCTTATTTTGTAGGTATGATCAAGGACAAGACTGGATCCTACACAATAGTGTCTCTTGCTCTTGGTTTCACCAACTGTCTAACTGTGATCCTCACAATTGTCTTCTTGGCTGCCCGACGGGGACGGGATCATCTCACATTACAAGACAAACGAGAAAAATGATCAAGGATTTGATGATCACCGCATCTTGCTCTTAGAAATGTTGTGGTCTAGTCGATAGGTCAACAGACTGTAGATCAGAAGTTGCGGGGTTCAACCCCCCCCCCCCCCACTCCGAGAACGGAGGGACACCATGCGTGTTACCAAAATATCCGGTAAAGGGGTACTGTGCGACAAAGTCCGGCCCGAGAATATTGTAAAAAAAGGGGGTGTATTAACTTTTATCTCTCAACTCTTTGGACTCCTGAGAAATTATTCCGAATTTAGGGGGGGGGGGGGTACATTGAGCATTTTCCGGATTTAGGGGGGTCTCCAAGGCAGGAAAAGCCCGCGAAATGGGGGTTCGGAAATGTTGGTAGTCTTTAGATAGGGAGTGCTTTCAAAAGAGGGAACAAGCATACGCGTACCCTCAATAACACTGAGTGGGGGGGGGGGGGGGGGGGGGACGGGGGTTCAAATCTCAAACCCGACACTAACGTTCTTTGGCAAGACGTTAATCTGTATTTGCCACTCGAGACCGAGGTGTTAAATGGATACCTGCGTAGAATGCGGAAGTCAATGTAGTTTGCTAAGCAGTGTGAGCGTCTGTAAAATGGCGCCTGGCTGGAATGCTTCATAGGGAGTGGAGAATGTGAATACTTTGTGTACGGGCAAGCCTTAATCGAATTACCGGGGTAATCATGATCAATAGAGCGCATAGAGACATCGTTGGACAGTTGAGTTCTAATTGTTTAAGACCTTAAATGCCTTCAAAGTGCATGGTTATTGCTCTTATTCTTATTTATAACATTTCTAGTGCCCTTGTATAGGACCTAAAATTGCTATAAAGGTAATTTTAGACCCCAAAATTTGTGGAATTTAGTCAATACAATCATACCAATTAAGCTCTACTTTCAAAATAATATGGTGACTATTAATAACGTGGTCAGGAGTTAATATGTCACCGGACTGTGGATCACTAGGTCCGCGGTTCAAGTCCTATCGCGGCACTTATCTCATTTGGCAAGACATTGATCTACATTTGCCACTCTCCTTCCAGGCCGGGTGTTTAATGAGTACCCGGTAGGATGCGAAAGTTAAAGGGATAGTTGAGTTCTGTTGCAGAGGTCGATACACAAATAATTGTTTGTGAGATAATGAAAAGCTGAGTGTCAAATTTGAAAGAACATACAATTTAAATGACAAAATCATCTTTGTTTGATCAAAATCGGTTCAGAGACGGCTGAAATATTCATAAATATAACGATTTCTAATACTTGTGTACCACCACAAATATAAGTTAATTTAAAAAAGTAGTTGAAAAAAAATGAAATAGCGCCATTTACGTCGGATTTCAGCCAATGCCGATGTTGGTTATATTTAATACGCACAACCAGCCGGCCCATGTCTTGTTATATTTAATCATATAATTAATTAACGGTCACGGTATTTTTTTAAAAGTGGAGCTGAATTGGTGTGATCGTATTAGCTAAATTTTACACATTTTGGGGTCTAAAATTACCTTCATAGCAATTTTATATTCTAAAAGGGCACTAGAAATGTCATAGATAAGAAAAAGAGCAATATTTGCGGTCTGAAAACAAAACTCAACTATCCCTTTAATATGGTTGGATTAGCAAGTTGCGCTTGTTAAATGGCGACTGGGTAGAATGCTCCGCAGGGAGTGGAAAATGTGCCTGCATTGTGTTGCGGGTGTTGCAGTTTTTAACTCATCCGGCCCGAAGGGCCCGATGAGCTTATGCCATGGCGTGGTGTCCGTCGTCCGACGTCCGTCCGTCCTTCCACAGTTTTCAAAATGCTTCTTCTTCGTTATTTTTCAACCGATTTTGATTTTGATTGTATCATAATTATGATCGGGCTAGGAGGGGGATTTTAAACTTCTACACAGCATCGTGAAATTCATTATCTATGCTAATTTATTCAAATTTATTCGAAATTACAAAACCTGCTTCTTCTCCCTCATTTCTTGACCGATTTTGATTTTGTTTGTCTAAAAATCTGGTAGAGCTAAATTTGGAACACTAAACTTTTACACAGAATTTTGAGATTTAGCTCCATTGATTATTTATGGTAATTTATTCAAATTTATTCCAAAAATAACAAAAAATGCTCCTTCTCCTTCATTTCATTTTTAAAGTTTTGTGCAAAATATTAGGATGATTATTTGCAAATTTGATCTCTCACAGAAAACACTTGATTTGTGGATTAAAAAGAGGAGAAAAGAGATGTTGAAAATTAAATGTTCAGAACGCATTTTGTTTTCAGCAAAGCGCTACTCCTGGGCGCTACTATAGCGCAAGGCCAGGATAGGCCTAGGCATGGCAATCACACTGCATACCCCCCCCCCCCCTTGCACACACACTTTGGATAGGTAGAACTATGGTAGTAGGGTCCATAGTAAAACAATGCTCAGTTATTGTTTATGCTGGTGGCCAAATCTGGCAAAAATTTTATAAATGATAGAAAATATATTTTGCCATATTTTTCTGTTGACAATTTACTGACTATTTATACCTCTGTCCTTTCCATATTATAATAAAAGGTGAGTATGTTTACATTTATCTCTTACTAAGTTCGAGTCCTGCTTATCATAAAATATATATTTTTCAACCAATTTTTCATTCCATTTCCTTTAGTTTCTATTTAATCTTGTACAGCTAAATGAAATTATGTCCCTTCCAGGGCATCACATTTTTATTTTTTGAACAGTTCAAAAGTGTACAACATAAAATTTACGATATTTGTTGTTGCGAGATGCGGATGAGCGCTACGTCATTGACGTTCTGGTTCATAATGTCACAACTTTTGTTGTGTGTAGCGCCCTCTATACCAAAACTCAACTACCCCTTTAATCGCTGTAAAAAAGCGGAATATTAGTTATAAATTCAACAATCACTAACAGTTATCATCATTTTATTGACATATTGGTAGACAAACGAGACAAATAATCGATCACTTGGGGGTTGCAGTATTTGTTGCTCACCTTTTTAACATTATTTATAATTTATTACATGATACAAACATGTTCTTATAGACAATCGATAAATAGTAAAATCAAATTTACTAGTTAACTCATCAACAAAATTACGTAACATATATTCCCCTTTCTTACTTTGAAGAGCAAGACGATTTTTAGTTAAACAAAGTGTACGTTCCATATTTTCTAAATGTTCAAGAGATCGTAGAAAAGAGCGAAATAGTGAAACATTGTTTTGCGTTTTACACGTATTAGTATAAAATATTTTACCGAAATAATAGTAGTATTGACAAAATAGAAATAATTATTAAACGGAGTACGAAAAAAAAAAACACATTGTGAACAAAACATTACGTATATTTTGTTACTCTTGGTGACCAGCTGTGTAACTGTGATCATCAGCGATGATCTTGGCTACCGGGGGGGGGGGGGGGGGGGGGGGGACGGGGGTTCAAATCTCAAACCCGACACTAACGTTCTTTGGCAAGACGTTAATCTGTATTTGCCACTCGAGACCGAGGTGTTAAATGGATACCTGCGTAGAATGCGGAAGTCAATGTAGTTTGCTAAGCAGTGTGAGCGTCTGTAAAATGGCGCCTGGCTGGAATGCTTCATAGGGAGTGGAGAATGTGAATACTTTGTGTACGGGCAAGCCTTAATCGAATTACCGGGGTAATCATGATCAATAGAGCGCATAGAGACATCGTTGGACAGTTGAGTTCTAATTGTTTAAGACCTTAAATGCCTTCAAAGTGCATGGTTATTGCTCTTATTCTTATTTATAACATTTCTAGTGCCCTTGTATAGGACCTAAAATTGCTATAAAGGTAATTTTAGACCCCAAAATTTGTGGAATTTAGTCAATACAATCATACCAATTAAGCTCTACTTTCAAAATAATATGGTGACTATTAATTACTTAATAACGTGGTCAGGAGTTAATATGTCACCGGACTGTGGATCACTAGGTCCGCGGTTCAAGTCCTATCGCGGCACTTATCTCATTTGGCAAGACATTGATCTACATTTGCCACTCTCCTTCCAGGCCGGGTGTTTAATGAGTACCCGGTAGGATGCGAAAGTTAAAGGGATAGTTGAGTTCTGTTGCAGAGGTCGATACACAAATAATTGTTTGTGAGATAATGAAAAGCTGAGTGTCAAATTTGAAAGAACATACAATTTAAATGACAAAATCATCTTTGTTTGATCAAAATCGGTTCAGAGACGGCTGAAATATTCATAAATATAACGATTTCTAATACTTGTGTACCACCACAAATATAAGTTAATTTAAAAAAGTAGTTGAAAAAAAATGAAATAGCGCCATTTACGTCGGATTTCAGCCAATGCCGATGTTGGTTATATTTAATACGCACAACCAGCCGGCCCATGTCTTGTTATATTTAATCATATAATTAATTAACGGTC